ACTATTACACTAATACACCACCAACTACTGTACTACATCAACTATGACACTACTACACCAACAACCTACTACATGTACTGCATAAAATATTACAATACTACATCAACAACATGAATTGTTAATGTAAAATACAGGTTCAATTATTTCACACACTCTTAAATATCTAAACATTGACATTTGAAACATTTCCTCAGTTCCTGTCCGTCAACAGGTTTCGTTCCTATTCAAGGTATGCTGTATCTATCTGCCATCAAGCAAACATCTTCATGTCCAACCCCACTCAGCAAACTCACCTATCAAAGCTGACAACTTGGGATCCCTGCCTGTAAAATACAAGGATCCATGTCATTAGATACTTTACAAAGGAACCATTCAAAAAAAGGACAGACAACAAAGAGATCCCTGTGGGATCTTGGTGCCAAACATCAGATGATCTTCGTTAGTTCTATCTATATGTAAGTTAAGTCTCTTCACTTCTGTTGTGGTAAATTTTGATTAATATCAAATTCAAAGTTATGTCACCGTTTACTTGGTAAATAGCTATATGCGACAAATCTGTACTGTCACAACCCAATATTGCTGCCAAATCAGTCTCATAATAAAACACATACAGCTATGTACAAGGGGAGCCACAAGAGGCCCAAGTGTCAAGTGCCCATGTGTTACAAAACACGCACAGAAGAATAGGACAACCTCAAATCTGACTGATTGGGTTAGTCTAATATTTTGAGGGAAATCAGGTTTTGCAACTCACAAATATGGTTCAACCCTACAAATAGACCAACTTCATTCAAATCCGGCTGATCGGGTTAGTCCAATGTTCTACTAAGTTAGTTTTACAGTTCTTTTCATATGTTAATGTATTGGTCCTGTCAATCTATTCTGTGCTTACAATAGACTCTACTGCAATGTACAGTATTTCATTAATGTATTGAAAATACTTTAAATTCACACAGTCAAAATCGATATCAATATGTGTTGAATCAATACAATTTAAATGTCTCCATGAAAAAACGTCACTAGTGTTTATCTAGTGTATGTAATAACCAAGTCACAGAATCTATATTGCGAGATAGAACCCCTGGCATTGACCAGAGTGACCACGACACCGCATGGAAGCAATGAGTCAGTTTGTAAACCTCATCAGGGTCCTCCGCCACTATTTCTGTAAGGCAATCCTCAGCTAGTCCAACATTTGAAGCTCTCCATTCATAGGAAGTACACAACTGCAAGATGACAGAGGGTAGCTGTCCTATCCGTAAATTTTTTTGCTGCAATCAACCTAGTAGTTTAGAAAGAACTGTTCGGACAAGGACTTTTCAACAAAGGGCCATAACTCCATAAAAAAGGGTTAGAATGAAAACAAGAGGCCCAATGGGCCTGCATCGCTCACCTGGTATAAATCTCACACTTGTAACCTTAAAAGTGATCTAAAATAAAGCTACAGGCAAAACATCAGTATTTATGATTAAAATTCATTCAAAAGACCCTGTTATTTTTTTTTAAACATTTCATCCCTGTGATTGAAAGTCGAACAAATTTTACAGCCTTTCATCTCAGGATGCAACTTGCAAAGTATCAACATCCTGGGACCCATGGTTATTCAGAAGAGGTCGTTTAAAGATTTTAAACAAGTTTGACCCCTGTGACCTTGCATATGGGTGAAGGTCATTCATTTTAACAAACTTTGGAGCCCTTCATCTCAGCATGATAAATGATAAATATCAACATCCTGAGCCTTTTGGTTATTCAGAAGAAGTTGTTTAAATATATTGAACATATTTGCTTCTTGTGACTTTGAATATGATTCAAGTTCATACGTTTGAACAAACTTGGTAGCACTTCATCTCAGCATGCTACTGACTAAATATCATCACCCTGGGCATTTTGGTTATTCAGAGGAAGTTGTTTAAAGTTTTTAACATATTTTACCCCTGTGACCTTGAATATGGGTGAAGGTCATTCATTTGAACAAACTTTGTAGCCCTTCATCTCAGCATGAAATTGGCCAAATATCATCACCCTGGACATTTTGGTTTTTGAGAAGAAGTTGTTAAATGTTTTTAACATATTTGACCCCTCTGACCTTGAATATGGGTGAAGGTCATTCATTTGAACAAACTTTGTAGACCTTCATCTCAGCATGCTACTGGCCAAATATCATCACCCTGGGCATTTTGGTTTTTGAGGAGAAGTTGTTTAAAGTTTTTAAAATATTTGACCCATGTGACCTTGAATATCGGTGAAGGTCATTCATTTGAACAAACCTTTGTAGCCCTTCGTCTCAGCATGCTACTGGCCAAATATCATCACCCTGGGCATTTTGGTTATTCAGAAGAAGTTGTCTTAAGGCTTTATAAAACAATTGACCCCTGTGACCTTGAATATAATTGAAGGTCATCCATTTGAGCAAACTTGGTAGTCCTTCACCCAAGCATGTTACTGGCCAAACATCATTTCCCTGGGCAGTTTGGTTATCGAGGAGAAGTTGTTTAAAGTTTTTAACATATTTGACCCATGTGACCTTGAATATGGGTTAAGGTCATTCATTTTAACAAACTTTGTAGCACTTTGTCTCAGCATGCTACTGGCCAAATATCATCACCCTGGGCGTTTTGGTTAGTCAGAACAAGTTGTTTAAAGATTTTAATATATTTGACGCCTGTGACCTTGAAAATGGGTGAAGGTCTTTAATTTGAACAAACTTTGTAGACCTTCATCTCAGCATGCTACAGGCCAAATGTCATCACCCTGGGCCTTTTGGTTATTCAGAAGAAGTTGTTGAAAGATTTTAATATATTTGACGCCTGTGACCTTGAAAATGGTTGAATGTCCTTAATTTGAACAAACTTTGTAGCACTTCGTCTCAGCATGCTACTGGCCAAATATCATCACCCTGGGCGTTTTGGTTAGTCAGAACAAGTTGTTTAAAGATTTTAATATATTTGACCCCTGTGACCTAGAATATAGGTGAACTATGTCATTCATTTGAACAAGCCGTTGTAGGCCTTCGTCTCAGCATGCTACTGGCCAATTATCATCACCCATGGCATTTTGGTTATTCAGAAGCTTCATCTCAGCATGATAAATGATAAATATCAACATCCTGAGCCTTTTGGTTATTCAGAAGCTTCATCTCAGCATGATAAATGATAAATATCAACATCCTGAGCCTTTTGGTTATTCAGAAGCTTCATCTCAGCATGATAAATGATAAATATCAACATCCTGAGCCTTTTGGTTATTCAGAAGAAGTTGTCTTAAGGCTTTATAAAACAATTGACCCCTGTGACCTTTAATATCGGTGAACTAGGCCATTCATTTGAACAAACTTTGTAGCCCTTCATCTCAGCTAGCTACTGGCCAAATATCATAACCCTGGGCATTTTGGTTTTTGAGGAGAAGTTGTTAAATGTTTTTAACATATTTGACCCTTGTGACCTTGAAAATGGGTGAAGGTCTTTAATTTGAACAAACTTTGTAGCACTTCGTCTCAGCATGCTACTGGCCAAATTTCATCACCCTGGGCATTTTGGTTATTCAGAAGCTTCATCTCAGCATGATAAATGATAAATATCAACATCCTGAGCCTTTTGGTTATTCAGAAGAAGTTGCTTCAAGGTTTTTTAAGACAATTGACCCCTGTGACCTTGAAGATCGGTGAACTAGGTCATTCATTTGAACACTCTTTGTCGGCCATCATCACAGCATGCTACTGTCCAAATATCATCACCCTGGGCAGCTTGGTTTTTGAGAAGAAGTTACTTAAAGTTTTTAACATATTTGTCCCATGTGACCTTGAATATGGGTTAAGCTCATTCATTTTAACAAACCTTTGTATCCATTTGTCTCATCATGTTACTGGCCAAATATCATAACCCTGGGCATTTTGGTTATTGAGAAGTTGTTTAAAGTTTTGAACATATTTGACCCCTGTTACCTTGAATATGGGTGAAGGTCATTCATTTGAACACTCTTTGTCGGCCATCATCACAGCATGCTACTGTCCAAATATCATCACCCTGGGCCAAATATCATTGACCCCTGTGACCTTTAATATCGGTGAACTAGGCCATTCATTTGAACAAACTTGGTTGCCTTTCATCCAAGCATACTTCTGGCTATATATCACCATCCTGGAGCATGCTACTGGCCAAATGTCATCACCCTGGTCAGTTTGGTTTTTGAGAAGTTGTTTAAACTTTTTAAGATATTTTACCCATGTGACCTTGAACATGGGTTAAGGTCATTCATTTTAACAAACCTTTGTATCCATTTGTCTCATCATGTTACTGGCCAAATATCATCTCCCTGGGCCAAATATCATCACCATGGGCAGTTTGGTTTTTGAGAAGTTGTTTAAAGTTTTCAACATATTTGACCCCTGTTACCTTGAATATGGGTGAAGGTCATTCATTTGAAAAAACTTTGTAGCCCATCATCTCAGCATGCTACGGGCCAAATATCATCACCCATGGCATTTTGGTTTTTGAGGAGAAGTTGTTAAATGTTTTTAACATATTTGACCCATGTGCCCTTGAATATGGGTTAAGCTCATTCATTTTAACAAACCTTTGTATCCATTTGTCTCATCATGTTACTGGCCAAATATCATAACCCTGGGCATTTTGGTTATTGAGAAGTTGTTTAAAGTTTTTAACATATTCATTCATTTTAACAAACCTTTGTATCCATTTGTCTCATCATGTTACTGGCCAAATATCATAACCCTGGGCATTTTGGTTTTTGAGGAGAAGTTGTTAAATGTTTTTAACATATTTGACCCCTGTGACCTTGAAAATGGTTGAAGGTCCTTAATTTGAACAAACTTTGTAGCACTTTATCTCAGCATGCTACTGGCCAAATATCATCACCCTGGGCCAAATATCATCACCCTGGGCAGTTTGTTATTGACAAGAAGTTGGTTTAAAGTTTTCAACATATTTGACCCCTGTTACCTTGAATATGGGTTAAGGTCATTCATTTTAACAAACTTTGTAGCACTTCGTCTCAGCATGCTACTGGCCAAATATCATCACCCATGGCATTTTGGTTATTGACAAGAAGTTGTTTAAAATTTTCAACATATTTGACCCCTGTGACCTTGAATATCGGTGAACTAGGTCATTCATTTGAACAAACTTTGTAGCCCATCATCTCAGCATGCTACTGGCCAAATGTCATCACCCTGGGCATTTTGGTTATTCAGAAGAAGTTGTTTCAAGGTTTTTTAAGACAATTGACCCCTGTGACCTTGAATATAATTGAAGGTCATTCATTTGAACAAACTTGGTAGCCCTTTACCTAAGCATGCTACTGGCCAAATATCATCTACTTGGGCAGTTTGGTTATCGAAAAGAAGATTTTTAAAGTTTTTAACATATTTGACCCCTGTGACCTTGAAAATGGGTGAAGGTCCTTAATTTGAACAAACTTTGTACACCTTTATCTCAGCATACTACTGGCCAAATATCATCACCCTGGGCAATTTGGTTATTCAGAAGAAGTTGTTTAAAGATTTTAATATATTTGACCCCTGTGACCTTGAAAATGGGTGAAGGTCATTCATTTGAACAAACTTTGTAGCACTTCATCTCAGCATGCTACTGGCCAAATATCATCACCCTGGGCAGTTTGGTTTTTGAGAAGTTGTTTAAACTTTTTAAGATATTTTACCCATGTGACCTTGAATATAGGTGAAGGTCATTCATTTGAACAAACTTTGTAGCCCATCATCTCAGCATACTACTAGCCAAATATAATTTACCCTGGGCATTTTGGTTATTCAGAAGAAGTTGTTTTAAGGTTTTTTAAAACAATTGACCCCTGTGACCTTGAATATAATTGAAGGTCACCCATTAGAGCAAACTTTGTAGCCCTTCACCCAAGCATGTTACTGGCCAAATATCACCTCCCTGGGCAGTTTGGTTATCGACAAGAAGATTTTTAAAGTTTTTAACATATTTGACCCCTATGACCTTGAAAATGGGTGAATGTCATCCCAGTTTGCTTCTTGCCAAATAACGACAACCTAGGCCTTTCGGTTATTAAGAAGAAGGTGTTTAAAGTAGAATATTGATGCCGGACGCCGCCCGCCGGCCGGCCGGACGACGGACGCCGCGCCACGGCATAAGTTCACTTGGCACTTCGTGATCTTGAAAAAAGCCAAAGGTCATTCATTTGAACAAACTTGGTAGCCCTTCACCTAAGCATGCTACTTGCCAAATATCATCTACTTGGGCAGTTTGGTTATCGACAAGAAGATTTTTAAAGTTTTTAACATATTTGACCCCTGTGACCTTGAAAATGGGTGAAGGTCATCCCAGTTTGCTTCTTGCCAAATATCGACAACCTAGGCCTTTCGGTTATTAAGAAGAAGGTGTTTAAAGTAAAATATTGATGCCGGACGCCGGCCGCCGGCCGGCCGGACGACGGACGCCGCGCCACGGCATAAGCTCACTTGGCACTTCGTGATCTTGAAAAAAGCCAAAGGTCATTCATTTGAACAAACATGATAGCCCTTCATCCCAGCATGCCACTTGCCAAATATCATTATCCTGGTCTAGGACTCTTGATTATTCAGAAAAAGTTAAAAGTTGACGTCGGACGGATGACGCACCATTGCATAAGCTCTCTGGGACCAAATTTGGATGAAATCCCTTAATTCCTGTGGTAGAAGAAGGATTTAAGAAGTTTTACGTCTATTTCCCCTATTAGGCCCCATCCACTGCCCCCAGGGAGCCACACCCACTGTTTATACAAAGCTGAGTCCCTTTGGTTCAAGAGTGCTCCAGACATAATTGGGATAAAATCCCTTAATCCATAATTAGGTAGAAGAATTTTAGAGGTTAACCTCCATTTCCCTTATTGGGTCCCAACCCTCTGCCTCCAGGGAGGGGGCACTCCCACCATTTATACAAAATTTAATTGACCTTGGTCAAAGGATTCTCCAGACCAAGTTAGGATAAAATCCATGAATCCCTGTGATAGAAGAAGGATTTTAAAGGTTACCTCCCTGATCAATAACTTTTAAAAATCTTAGATCATATATATATATATATATATATATATATATCATTGTGGACATTCTATGTTTAAGTACACATAATTGATCTCCCTTAAAAACACACAAAACAATAAAATATCATTGTTGGCATTCTATATTTAAGATCTCCTCTCAAACACACAAACAATATATATCATTGTGGACATTCTATGCTTAAAGCTGACAGTGCAAGTTTAAAGTTTTCAATTGAGATTTAAAAAAAGTTATATATTTTTTTTCTTCTGTTTATGAGATCTTCCCGAGTGACAATCTCTTCCGGCTGTTGTATCTAAGGAAGCGGCGACATTTCAGAATGTACTTGCTTGGTAACAAGTATGATTTTATGGGTATAACAAGAGGCCCAGAGGGCCTGTATTGCTCACCTGGATAATAAAGCAACCATGAGAAAATATTTTTTATTACAAAACTGTAAGACATAAATGCCCCCGCTGCCATGTGAAATTAGTTTCAGGTTTCTATAAAAAGTGACAACCACTTTGATCTTGATACCCTGAAACATGCACACACAAGTTACTACACTTAACCCTTTCACCCCTAGGTAACTTTAGTATACTCTACCATACATTGATCTGGATGAGTCCATTATGGTCTACAGTGGTGAAAGGGTTAAAGTTGATAAGTTGATTTTATTTTAATATTCATATGTTTTTTTTCTGTATGTTATTACCATCCTGAAACACAACGATGTCCGAAGTATACTCATACTTGACCTTTGTATAAAGTTTGACCAAAATCTGTCAAAGAATGAAGTTGCTAAGTGTTTACATTGAATCGGGACGGGACGCGATGCGACGAGATGCGACGGGTGCTTACATTGAATCGGGACGGGACGGGACAGGACAGGACAGACATGGGCAACACGATATTATGGTGGGGCATAAAAATCCCTCCAATGGTACTGAAGAAGAATAATTTTAAAGATTCAAACCTCAAATTCCCTTTTTGGGCCCCACAACTCTGCACCCAGAGGGGCCACACCCTCTGTTTATACAAAATGTAGTCCCCGTTGCCAAAGGATTCTCCAGGCCAAATTTGGATAAAAGTCTGCCAATGTTACAGAAGAAGTAAGATTTTGAAGATTCCAAATCTCCGTTTCATCCCTGCCCCTTCATACCCAAAGGGGCCACACTCATCTTTTTTACAAAATTAAGTCCCCTTGGCAAAAATATGATCCAGGCAAAATGTGGATAAAATCCCTTCATCCCTACATTAAGAGAAGGATTTTTAAAGTTTTCCCTCTATTTCCCTTATTAGGCCCCACTCTGCTGCCCCAAGGGGGGCCACACCCATCATTAATACAAAATTGACTCTCCTTGGCTTAAGGATGCTTCTGACCGAATTGGGATGAAATCCCTTCATCTCCATGGTAGAAGAAGGATTTTAAAGGTATTACCTCTATTTCCCCCTATTCGGCCTCAACATCTGCCCCTAGGGGGACCTCACCTAACGTTAATACAAAATTGAGTCCACTTGCAAGAAGGGTGCTCTAGAACTAATTGGGATAAAATCCCTTCATCCGTATGGTAGGAGAAGGATTTCTCTCTATTTCTCATATTGTGCCAGCCCCTGCAATCCCAGGGGGTCCAAACCCCACGTTTATACAAAATTGAGAGTCCTTTGCACAAAGATGTTCCAGACCAAATTTGGATAAAATCCCTTAATCTTTATGGTAGAAGAAGGATTCTAAAGGTTTACCTCTATTTCCCTATTCAGCCCCTCCCCTTGGTCTAAGATGCTTCGGACCAAATTAGGATAAAATCCCTTCGGCAGAAGAAGGATTTTTAAGGTTTACCTATATTTTTCCTATTCTGCCCCGCAACTCTTCCCCAGGGGGTCCACACCCACTGTTTATACAAAATTGAGTCCCCTTGGCCTAAGGATGTTCCAGACCAAATTTAGTCCAAATCTACAGGGCCGTTCAGGACAAGTAGCGTTTTAAAGGAAAAGTTGAGGGGTGGACGACGAATGAAGGACGCAGAGTCGTGGCATAAGCTCGCTTGCCCTTCGGGCAGGTGAGCTAAAAAGACAATGTTAAAACATACCCTGTAGGTCAACCATATCTGTTTGCATGGCGTCCTGTTTGACATACATATCAGCCATATTGCCTGAAAAGACAGATAAGAATATTATTATAGATACAATTAATGATTTTTTCACTCAGTAAAAATTAGCTCTATAATTCTTTAAAAGGGCTTTGATGTATTTGCAATGTTTTTCAATGAAACAACAGAGAAAACTACATCATTTAACCAAAGTACACAGTCTGAAAGTACTGTAAATGTTAATTGTGTATGGCACAAAAAAACGCTTCATATCGAATTACCAGTAGTTCACTGACGAGGCTATGATATACAATGTACATGTAAATAGATGAAATGTTGGGACACATGGTTTAACTGTGCTTTAATGAAGGAAAAATTCGTTTTACTAAGTAAAATGACAGTAAAAACATTGATGGATTCAAGAGAAAAGAAATTATTCATAAACTCTGGGCAAGATTGTGGTCCTTTTGATATATATACATAGCATGTATAATGTATATGGTTATACTTGTGTAGAAGGAAGATGAACACAAGGGTTGAAATTAACAAATGAATGTAAATACGTACCCTGTAGGTCAGCCACATCTGTTTGCATGGCGTCCTGTTTGACAGACATACCAGCCATATCTGTTTGCATGGCGTCCTGTTTGACAGACATACCAGCCATATCTGTTTGCATGGCGTCCTGTTTGACAGACATACCAGCCATATCTGTTTGCATGGCGTCCTGTTTGACAGACATACCAGCCATATCTGTTTGCATGGCGTCCTGTTTGACAGACATACCAGCCATATCTGTTTGCATGGCGTCCTGTTTGACAGACATACCAGCCATATCTGTTTGCATGGCGTCCTGTTTGACAGACATACCAGCCATATCTGTTTGCATGGCGTCCTNCTTTCCTACTTAGAAGCAAATACATCTAAACTATGTGCTTCAATGAAGGAAAACATATGTTTTACTAAATTAAATGACAGTGAGGACATTGCTGGAATCAATATAAAATAATTATTAAAAATCTCTGGGCTAAATTGGGGATTTTTTATTTATTTGGTTACAATATATATACTAGCGGAAAAAAGAAACTGTGCATGCCTAAAATGAGTATGATGTAGAACAACAAGGTTTTCAGGGACAATCTATTTGTTATTTATTAACAGTTGCATTCCATTTCCCAAGTTATGGAATCAATAAGTTCCGCTCAGGAGTGACGTAAACACAGCAGGGGTCAATACTGAGGTCACAAAGTTAATACCTCGTATGTCCACTGTTTGCCTGAATGCAAGCCTGGCAACGTCGACGCATGGAGCCTATCAGACGGTTCAAGAATGCTTGTGGGATGGCATTCCAGATCTGTACCAACGCTGCTGCCGAATTAGCCAACGTCACCGGTTGATTAGGAAATGCCCGTAATCTGCGCTTGATTTAATCCCAGACGTGTTCAATGGGCAACAGATCGGGGGATACAGCAGGCCAGGGCAACACGTCAACGTTCTGCTGGACCAGAAAGTCCATAGCGACACGAACTGTGTGTGGCCTGGCGTTGTCCTGTTGAAGCGTAATGTGACGTTGCTGCCCTTGCACGAATGGAACGACGTGGGTTCGGAGGATCTCGTCACGGTAACGTAGCGCGCTCAAATTCCCGTTAACAACCACCAGAGACGTTCTCCCGTTGGCTGTGATGCCGCCCCAAATCATAACGCTGCATCCGCCGAAAGAACGTCGTTGTTCCACACACGCGTCACGGAAACGTTGTTCAATGCGACGATACACTCTGGAACGGCCCTCACTTCTATCCAGGTGGACTCGCAACTCGTCTGTACACAAAATGCCTGGCCAATCCCGTCGAGTAAATCGCAGATGCCTTCTGCACCAGTCCAGACGTGCTACCCAATAACGTGACAGAAGAACTGGGCGGATTGCAGGACGTCGCCGACGGATAGCTCGTTCACGTAATCGGTTCCATACAGTTCTCAGGCTTATATATTGGTAGCAACCCAGGGATTGTCTGGCAGTCAAAATTGCCGTTTGGAAGCGATTTCTCAAATGGACAAGCCAAATATGGTTGTCCTGTTGACGTGACGTCACACGTGGACGTCCCCACGAGGTCGATCGCCGACGTGACCAAACTGTTGATGTCGTCTCCACAAATCCCGGATTGTGTTTCGATGGACATGAAAACATGTAGAGACAACGGCTTGGCCCATACCAGCTTGAAGCATACCAATAATCTGGAGGCGGTCATTTTCATTAAGCCTCGGTATAGTATTAATCACAAATTAAAACGTTATAATGCTGTTGTTACTGTTCACTGGTCTCAGCAGAGTGACCCTACAGTTGAAAAATAAACTTTCATTGTCGAATTGGATGGCTGGACGAGAGAAACATGCAAACTGGTCAACGCCTATAGAGAGTAAACTGCACCGGAAAAAACGGCCAATGACACACGGATAGTGTGTATGTGTCATACTCGGTCATGTGTGTGAATTTTCATGTATATATGCACAGTTTCTTTTTTCGGCTAGTATATGTAGAGCTATTGCAAAAAGAAGTTTAACATGATGGTTGTAATAATATATGGTTATACTATGGTTGAAATAATATATGGTTATACTATTGTAAAAGGAAGTTGAACATGATGCTTGTAATAATATATGGTTATACTATTGTAAAAGGAAGTTGAACATGATGGTTGAATATATGGTTATACTATTGTAAAAGGGAGTTTAAGATGATTGTTAAAATAGACAATGTAAAAACATACCCTGTAAGTCAACTATATCTGTTTCCATAGCGTCCTGTTTGACAGACATACCAACCATTTCACCTGAAGAGACAGATAATACTTTATTAAACAATTCAGTACTTTCTTACGAGTAAAATGAAGCTCTAAATCCTTTAAAAGAGATTGATTTATTTGCATTACACTTTGACCAAATCACTGAGGAACTCTGCATCACTTAACCAAAGTAAAGCATAAATCACCACTCTTTATCAAATTGAGAGATGACCTTTTAGCTTGTAGTACACCGAACAAGACAGGGTTATACTTGTGAATAGATAAAATGTTGGGAGATGTGGTTTCATGTGGTGTTCAAATATATGAATTCGTCAAGTTCTCAATATATACAGACGGATCTGCATGCAGGTAGAAGTTTAATATTTTAAATACCATTTTGTCTATATATGTGTACATAGTTCCAGTTTCCTGAAGTAGGTAGAGTTGACACCATTATACGATATCACAGTAATTTCTTCAGAGGAAAAAAAGCCAGCTGATTACTTCTTGCTTCGTTTATATTGGTTTGGGTGAAACATAGCTAGCTAATTCTTACCTCCATGATAATGTTTTAGGGTTTGGAAACTATGACTAGCTGATTCATTCCCACCTCCCCAATATTGGACTTTAGGTGAAACAATTGCCTAGCTCCACCCATTATAGAACATGTTATATCTACATGCTTAAATAGTATAAAGTGGTAAGAACTACATGTAATTACCTTTGAGGTTACCCATGTCTGCTGTAATCACATCTTGTCTGTCTTTGACGTCACTGATCTCCCCTAAAACACACAAACAAACAAATATCATTGTGGACATTCTATGTTAAAGTACACGTCATGGATCTCCCCTAAAACACACCAACTATATATCATTATGGAAATGAAGTTGTATGTAAACACAAGAGGCATAGAAGGGCCTGTATTGCTCACCTGTTTGTTTTGTTACATGGCCACTGTGACCTTGAAAGTCGGACAAGGTCATTTTCATTCGCAAACTTAGTCGGGCTTTATCATTGGATGCTACTGGTCAAATATCATGACTCTAGGCCTTTCAGATCTTCAGAAGAAGTCATTTGAATATTTAGACCTATTTGACCCCTGTGACCTTGAAAGTAGGTCAAGGTCATTTTCGTTCGCAAACATTGTTTCGTTCGCCAAGTTTTCTACAATTACCAGTAACTCAAACTACCTGTATGTACAGGAAAATTAGTATTTTGAAAAGAGAGAATGTAATAATACAAACAAGAAACTGTATCGCTCACCTGAATATTTAAGCAGTCATAGCAAATTATTCTCCTGTGATATGATACTGTACTACAAATATTTCACTCGCAAAATATTATTATATGTTTCTATGCTTTTTTTTTCATTTTCCTTCTCAAAATTTGTTGGCTCTGTCTCAAAAAGCTACAATGTACTAGCCTAATCTTATGCATCCATACCTTTTGGTTCAGAACAAGTCATTTGATATGTTTTTGACCTCTGTGACCACCAACCAAATTTTATGATTCTATGCCTTTCAAATATTCATCAGAAGTGTTTGACATATTTGACGCCATTGACCTTGAAAGACAGTCAAGGTGATTTTCACTCGCAAACTTTATCAGGCTCCATCCCAGGAAGTCATGAGACAAAAAAGAAGATTCTATACCTTTCAGTTCTTCAGGAGAAGTTGTTTGAAGTGTTTGACATATTTGACGCCAGTGACCTTGAAAGAAGGTCAATGTCATTTTCATTCACTATCTTATCAAGCTCCATCACAAGAAGTTACTAGCCATAACTTTGTATACATGTTAATTATACAAAGTCTGAGACTAAACTTGAACGTGAGCAAAACGTGTGAATAATTAATCAGCATACTGATTAGTCAATATCTAAACTTTAGTTTCTGTAAAAATAAACATATTTGACTAAATTATAGTGGGGACACCATTGACCAATCAGATAGCAGTACCTTAATAAATTATGCGCAGATTAATCTCACTTTTATACTTTTTTGATTACATGATATAAATATTGACCAAGTTTCATCAGAATCTGGTCATATTTGATGCAGTTTTTGTGCAGAAACTGTCAACCAGTCAGAGCTCAGTATGCTTATTAATTATGCACAGGTTTTGCTCTACTTTGAACTTTGACGCGGTCTTAATATATATGCATACCAAACATCATTAAAATAGAACGATTTTTTTCAGCCAGTTATGTTGACCGACTGACGGACGGACAGACAGACAGACAGACAGACTGACAGTCGTTTCCCATACCATAATATGTCCCATCAAAAACTTTTACAGGCATATAAAAAGCATTTTTCATTTTTTTAAAAGCTATTCAAAACATTTTTCTATCTTCAAAGTACCGGTAAAAAAATATATATATAATTACTGATTTCATATCGATTCATTATAATTGTAATGGATATTATTTATCATGTAAATATTATCAGCCTTTGTGTACAATTACCTTCGATCTGTGCTATAAGTGTTATAAAATTCTTTTCTGTACTGGGGTCCATCCTCATGGTAAGTATATTATCCACGGCCAACACAAACGACCCTGTATTCAGTTCACTGTTTTGTATTTCCTCCACACTTTGGCGGATGATGTCCCACCTTGCCTGAAACTCTCCATCAGAAAGGGAGGCATTGGGTGCATGTGCATATGCCTCATTGCGCTGCTCACGAAGACGGTCGATGTTTGCTGACAGTGATCTGTCTGCTTTAACCGGTACCTTCCCCCAACCATTCTGATGAGGTGAAATATTTCCAAGGTTTCTAAGTAGGATGTAAAGAAGTGATGTGTCCAAATCCTTCACAGAACCTTGAAACAGCCCACCCTGAGGATACAGAATCTTCTCTTGTTGTTTATTCAACCGGGAGAAGACCTGACCTTTCTGGTTGGTAAGTACATGAGCGAGTCCTGATGATGGCAGTCGAGCGATGAGCAAGTCTCGGAATAAGTCAGGGATGACATCAATGACCAACCTGCAAATCCGGGCAAAGTTTGTAGTTTCTTTAGAAGACTGGTATTTGGCAGCTGCCATCTTCAAAGTTGGTTTAAGGCGACATAGTAAGGCTGATGCTGGAAAATATAAAAAATGTGTCAGAATATCATAACAGACTAAGATCAAGAAGGGCAAGCATAAAAAGTGCGATACCAAGAATCTATAGGTAACACTCTTTATGCTAGACATGTATTTTTTGAAAAATGTATAAGCATGTACTTACAAATTATTAGAAGGTGAAATATATGTATGAATATGAGACAGAGTAGACAGGGAGACATGTGTGGTTACCATAGACAGGGAGACATGTGTGGTCGCCATAGACAGGGAAACATGTGTGGTCGCCATAGACAGGGAGATGTGTGGTCAACATAGACAGGGCGACATGTGTGGTCACCATAGACAGGGGGACATGTGTGGTTACCATAGACAGGGAGACATGTGTGGTCGTCATAGACAGGGAGATGTGTGGTCACCAAAGACAGGGAGACATGTGTGGTTACCATAGACAGGGAGACATGTGTGATAAACATAGACAGGAAGATGTATGTGGTCACCATAGACAGGGAGACATGTGTGGTTACCATAGACAGATAGACAGGGAGACATATGTGGTCGCCATAGACAGGGAGATGTGTGGTCGTCATAGACAGGGAGACATGTGTGGTCGCCATAGACAGGGAGATGTGTGGTCAACATAGACAGAGAGACATGTGTGGTCACCATAGACAGGGAGACTTGAGCGGTCACCATAGACAGGGAGACTTGTGTGGTCACCATAGACTGGGATATGTATGTGGTTAACATAGACAGGGAGACTTGTGTGGTCACCATAGACTGGAAGACATGTGTGTGGCTACCATAGACAGGGAGACATGTGTGGTCACCATAGACAGTGAGACATGTGTGGTTACCATAGACAGGGAGATGTATGTGGTCACCATAGACAGGGAGATGTATGTGGTCACCATAGACAGGGAGATGTATGTGGTCACCATAGACAGAAAGACATGTGTGGTTACCATAGACAGGGAGACATGTGTGATCACCATAGGCAGGGAGACATGTGTGGTCCCCTAAGACAGTAAAACATGTGTGGTTACCATAGACAGGGAGATGTATGTTGTCACCATAGACAGAAAGACGTGTGGTTACCATAGACAGGGAGATGTATGTGGTCACCATAGACAGAAAGACGGGTGGTTACCATAGACGGGGAGATGTATGTTGCCACCATAGACAGGGAGACTTGTGTGTTTACCATAGACAGGGAGATGTATGTGGTCACCATAGACAGGGAGACATATGTGGTCACCATAGACAGGGGGACATGTGTGGTTGTCATAGACAGGGTACACAGTGAGGTGTGTGGTTGTCATAGACAGGGAGACACATGTGGTCACCATAGACAGTGAGATGTATGTGGTCACTATAGACAGTGAGACTTGTGTGGTTACCATAGACAGGGGGATGAATGTGGTCACCATAGACAGGGAGACTTGTGTGTTTACCATAGACAGGATTAATTGTGTGGTCACCTAAGACAGTAAAACATGTGTGGTTAACATAGACAGGGAGATGTATGTGGTCACCATAGACAGAGAGACATGTGTGGTTACCATAGACAGGGAGATATGTGTGGTCACCATAGACAGGGAGACATGTGTGTTCACCGTAGACAGGGAGACATGTGTGGTTAACATAGACAGGGAGATATATGTGGTCACCATAGACAGTGAGACTTGTGGTAACCATAGACAGGGAGACATGTGCTGTCAACATAGACAAGGAGACATGTGCTGTCAACATAGACAGGGAGACAGGGGGACCACATTCTCCAATTAAATACATAATTGAGTCCCTTTGACCAAGATACATGAAATTTGCCTGAATTCCATTAATTCATATAGAAGTAGAAGGATTTTGAACATTTTCACCTAGGTTCCCCCTTATTGGCCCCACTCCTCTACTCCTCCATTTGTACAGAAGGAGATGAATTTCAAAGATTTATCTCAATTTCGCCGAAGATATTCCAGGTCAAATTTATTTTGTCTCAGGTGACCTAAATTCTTCCATTGTGGGCAACAGCCCCATACTGAAAAATATTTCTATTTCAAAATACGTTACCAGTCATCATAATGCATATTCCAACCTTACTTAACTCTTTACATACATAAAAAAATTTCCCCATGGGGAACCCCTGGGAAACCCACCAATCAGACGGCAGTATTCACGCACGTGATAAGACACGAAGCCATGCTTCCCACTTCATAATTCCTTCAGCCGGCCGTGTTTACGGACGTGTTTTGGTGTCTACGGGGTTCCAACTGCAACAGGCGTTGTTTGTACCCATACATATACGTATCCTTTAATACTATATAACTTTATTTTGTTTTAATTTAGCGTTTTGCTTTATTTTGCGCCGTTTTGCGACCAGGCTCCGGCCACGTGTTCGCGTTTTTGACGGTTTGTTTACTTTCGATGGAGACTCCTCCTTCTCAAAGGCGCTGTCCTTGGGGTCATTTTTTTGAGGCTTCCGACCCCCACCCTTACTGTCCTGACTGTCGGTCTTGCTCTCTGGAGCAGCCGTGTGAAATTTGCCGTGCCTGGCAGCCGACTCCTGCCGGTGGTTCTCCCCGCCCGCGAGGGCGTGCAGGTAAGTCGGGTAGGAGGGGTAGGGGTGGGGCGAGGGCTAAGGCTAGGCCTAAGCCCTCGGAGAACATCAGCGGAATTCCGACCTCTGTTGAGTCTTCCCTGGGGTTCGTTTCGGCGGTTTCGACCCGTACCGGGGCCGTTGTGAAACAGTTTGTTTCATTGGACCCGGACCTTTCTCTCACCCCCCCCTTCCGTTTTGTCGGTCGACTAGGGTGAGGGTTTGNGCTTCTGTTGGTGGCCTCCTGCCGGTCCGCTCCACTCCTGAGGGTGTCGGTGTCGGAGACCGGCCCCCGGCAGTTTTGTCTGCTCCCGGGGTTCCTTGTATCCCTGTTGTAGCCCCTGGCGTGGTGATGGCGTCTAGCACGCCGTCCACCACTGTGCAGCATTTGCTGCCCGGTCTGGTGGTAAGTGATGCCTCGGCCTCGCTTCGCTAGCCCCGGCTGGATTTTACGGTGGTGTGAGCACTGGTGTAAAAACCTATGCTTCAAGCTCTATCCCTTGTGCCTCCTCCCCAGGTTTTCCTATGGTAGGTTTAAGCGCAGCTGCGTTTGGTTTTGCCGGTGCACGCTGCTGCCCTGGTGGGGCTTGTTTTATTGGCCCTGCTGTAGGTCAGTCTTGGTGGAGTTGGTCATGTCAGCCAGGTGTGGCTTATGGCGGCGGGTGTGTAGGTGGCCCTAGGTTCCCTACCCCGCCCCCCTAAACCGGTCCTGCCTCCGGTTTCGGGCATCAGGTTGATGGCTCTGTTCCAGGGTCCTCCCTGGTTTATCCCACCTATTTGCAGGGTGGGAATGGAGCTCATTGGGGTCAACAGGCTCCTTTTTATGCTCCGCCCAAACCACCGACCGCCTATGGGCAGTCTTGGGGTTTCTCCCAGCAGGGGGCTTTTCCAGCTGCTCCCCCTCCACCCCAGGGTGGTATGGGTTTCCAGCCTGGATATGCCCCCCCCCCTCCCCGCCTTCTTGCCTGCGGTCCCCCCCTCCATCCGCCACCGAGCCGTTCGTTTAAGCGCTCCCGGCCAGCTTCTGCTGCCGGTTCTGTCAGGCAGAGACCGCGTGATGGTAGGGCTGCTGCTCGTGCTGCGTTGGCTCGAGCTCCTATTTTGGAATTCGAGTCTACCAGTAACGTCCGCTGTCCTATCTCAACTCCGACCTTACAGCAGGTTCCAGGGTCTCTTGGTCCTGCTCCTGCTGTTTCTCAGGTACTATCGCTTGCCCCGATAGTTCCGTCGGGTAGAACACGTTCTCTTTCCCCTCCTCGCACCCCTCCTCGGAGGGTGACGTTGATGGAGGTGGATTCGGCGGGTGCCTCTTCTAGTGATTAGAGGGACGTTCTTCGGGGCTCTCCCGGTTGCTCCAATTTTACGGAGACTCGGGATGTGGATAGAGTCGGCGAGTTTACTGACTCTGATTTGGAGTCGTTGGATGCGTCTGGGTTGAACTCGGAATGCCCTTCTGATGTGTCCCAATCCCGGCCCCGAGATGCTGATCCGGTGCCTCCAGAGGTTTCGGCTTCGTTTCGCACTTTACGTGCAGAAGTTATGAAGCTTCATCGGGACGGGGTTAGCCCACGCCCTTCCACGGATTCGGCCGTCCCGGATCGCACTTTGCTCCTTCAGAGCATGTTGCCTCCCCTAGCATATGCCTCCTCGGCCTCTGCTAGGTCTCTTGCGGAGGGACGAGGCGTGGCTTCGTCCCTCGCTCAGGTCAACGCTTTATTAAACCAGAAGGTGAGCAAGGCTCGCAAGCCTTTTCCCTCTCGGCTTTACAGGTCGTGGTTGCCGACATCGCAGATTTAGCTGCAGATACGTACCGCATCCACGACCCAGTCTTGGCCCCTAATTCTGTTTCCCTTGAGAGGGATCTGGATAAGTGGCCGGGACGCTGTGTTGACCAGGTTGTGATGGGGCCTAGGGAGCACTCAAAGTTGGAGCGTCTCATTAGGCTGGCTCTCCATGTTCTGTCCTACGCAGACTGGTTTACTTCTGCGTTGCTGGCTGCGAGCTGCAAGTCGGTGGAGCAGCTCCCCAGCAAGGTTGGGCTGATGGAGCGCCTCAGCCAGGCAATTTGCAAGGCACATCTTGATGTTATGGCCTTACTGTCGGCTGCCATGTCACACCTTGTTGTTGCCCGCAGGTTGTCGGTCCTTTCTGGACTGCCAGTCGGCGATTCCTATCGGGCTACCCTTTTGGAGGCTCCCTTGACTGGCGAGGATTTGTTTGGCGGAGTCCTTCCCTCAGTGCAATCTGAGATGAGGTTGGACCCGATTGCATCTGAGGATGCACGCACAGGCAAGGGCGCTAGCAGGAAAAGGCAGGCTTCTGGCTCCTCCAGGCGTAGGAGGAAGAGGGCAAAGACGACTGCTTTTCAGCAGCGAGCTGCCTCTCCGACTTCCGCTCCGGCAGAACGTCGGAAATTTTCTTTCC